CCATGACCATTCTTTACAGTACCGAGACAAAACACTTAAGAACATTAAAAAATTTCTCATAACTTAATGCTTTTTTTCTATTTTTGTCAAGGCATCGGAAATGTTTTTTTTTTCAGTTTCTTCGTGATAACAAGTATGTTCCATCTTTGATAGTATTTTCGTAACTCCATTTTTGGCTATTTGTTTCCATGGTTTCAGACGAAATCTCAATTACTTTGTAATAATCATCATTTTAGATGAGATTTGTTTGAACTGGCTCATGAGAAGAATTTGTATATGCCGACATGGTGTAAAATTCAGGAATTTCCTAAATACAACTCTGAAAAAGTTTCCATAATCCTTACTAATTAGTATTGATAAAATCCATTTTCGACACGCTTTAATTTTCTATAAGATGTATTGTTGGTGCTATTTAAAACTATAGCGTTATCCCCGCTGGAATAATATTATTTCCGATCCTGTACGATCATTTTAGCATACGTAATTATCAATCTCCGTCAAGTACGGACATATAAAGAATAATTTTCTTTCAAAATTGAAAAGAAGAATAATCTCTCAATTAATTGATGCAATAATCCTATCCTGCCACATGGCGAACTTTCTGACGTATGGAAAAACAATTTTTTTTTAACCTATAAGAATCGAACAATTAAAAATGTTGTGATAAATGTTCAACTACTATCACTATAAGACAACATAGATGACATAAAAAATCAAGCAGAATGACATGGCCTTAGGTAAATATGTAGTTTTACTCGTAGATGTTCTTACACATAGTAATCTCATGTTAATAGTGCGTTCAAGAGATAAATCATTTTTTAAGGATTTGAGTTGTGTCTAATGGTAACAAATACTTTTCCAGTAAGTACTGGAAGTTCATGGCAATATTGTTGTTATCAGGTTTCACAAAATGGATATTTAAAGTCATTGTTAAAATTAGAATTCTCTGTTTTTGTTTTATTGTTAGCAACACGATTAGAAGCTATATAATTGATGGCAATAGTTTAAACTTCAAATTCTAGACGATTCATACAATTAAAATTTTGTATTAAAATTTAAGTGGGATATAAATAACACCTGATAACCAATTAGTAATCTGCTAATCAGGTTCTGTTTAATGAGTTTTAAGCCGTAGTTTTGTCGAAAAACTGTTTGCTTGCAAAAAAAATAAAAAATAAAAAATATATGTACAAAATAAAAAAACAATAATCTTAATTTTTACATCCGTTCTTATTTTCGCAGGAGTTTAATCAAATTCATATTCTACTTGTATCAAAATAGTTTCTTTCTTTTTTCATTAAAGAAAAAGAAATAAAAAAGCAATATGGTTTCGATTCCCCTGGATATTACGCAGATAAGTAGTTATATTTTGTAGTTTTCATTTGATTATAATGAAATTAATCAGTCATATTGACATTCTAAGAACAACAGTTTATCTGTTGACTATTCTTGTGAATTTTTTCCTTAGTAACTTGATTTTCAGTATCTCCAACATCAACAAATTCTTATTCTTTTTATTTACACGACCTTGTTTGATATATCAATTATCTAATCTAATCTCATTATTTATCACCCGAGGGTACAGACACCATGTACTATTGCTATTAAATAGGCTTAAATACATCAACTCATGTTTCTGATCACTAAAATACATAATCTTATTTCTGAAAAAAAAAACCAAACACATGAAATTCACAAATGCTTACCTACCCAGATATAGTAATGCCTCCTGCACTGCCAATTGATCGTTTGGCTCGTTTCATTTGTTCATGTGTAAAGAGTACATCTTTTGTACCATATAAATCAAGTGCACGACGTCGACCCATAATCGATATACTTTCATGGCGCATCGTACCTGATGATGGCCATTGTATTTGGCAATTTGTTGCATTAATATTGGCTTGGGAAAAGCGGCGGGCCGTTGCCGATCGACCACCGGCTAACAGTATACTCATTTATTTGGTTATCACTTTTAGTAGTTTATTAATACATTTATAAACTAAATTAAATTGAATATATTTCATGCACTAAATAAGCATCTAAAGAATAAAAAAATTAACAACTCTATTATAAGTCGTTTGGCATATTTATTTAATAAGAAAAAATCATGAAATCGTTGTAGTCTCTCAATGGCATCTGATGTCTTCTTTTTTTCTTCTTCTTTGAAACTTATATCAAGACGAGTTTGTTTCGTTTCCGTACTACGGAAATGCTTTGTTCCATCACTTTATCACAAAAGCCGTAGATACTTAGAAAGCAAGTTTTTTTTGTAGTATTGAGAAAGACAAGAGCATGCACAAGAAAAAAAAAAGAGAAAGATAAACGGACAACTAAAAAAAAAAAAGATGACACGAGCCTCCGGGTATAATTACAAAATTTCGGCTAGTTCGAATAGATAAATAAACCTTCAGAAAAAATTGAATCCACTAAAGAATATTTCATAACTAAGAATGTAAATACTTCATGCTCAAGAAAAAAAAAAAAGTCTTGTAAATAATTAAAAAACAAGAAGCTTATACTTAATCACAAGTTACATGTATTTCGTCTCTAAAAATTCTCTTATTTTCTATCTGTTGTTAAAGACTATGTGAAATTTAAAATTTACCCTAGAGAATAAAAATGATAGTCATCGAGAACTAAATTACAATTATTTAATTGTAGAATAGTAATAGTCAAATTCGATGTAGATACTTATTTTTTCTATTAACAACTTCTAAGCAACATTCGAAGTAAGAAAAAGAAAAAGAAACATAAGTATCTTATAATTCGTCTCACATGCAACTATCTTAGTGATATAATCGAATCGATGAATGATAGATATACATTATAGAGAAGCTGACAAATACCTAAGAAGAAAAGACTTCTGAATGAGTTTACCATTAGATCTATGTACAAAAATTATATTCAATGAAATCAAGGTAAGAAATGATATCCAGCTGAGAGATGATTATTATACATTATTTTCATCAATGAATATTCAAATAAATATATTACTGATATCTTATCGAAAGTCATAATCAAGAAACGAACATAGAATGAGCATTTTACAAGAACAATTTTAAAAAAAGAAATATTATGATAGTCGTCTTTTTTGTCGTCTTATTTCAAGATGGTAAAGAAGAAGGACTGAATGTTAGAAATAGAGAGGGAGAGAGAGAGAGACAGAGAGAGAGAACGAAGGATTGTGCAAAAAGGAATAAGCAAAAAAGCGTTGGCACGCACACATACTCCTACAAATGTATATATAAACATAAATAAAATTCTATTAGAAAGATGATGCATCAGCCGACAAAAGACACGCATTGTTGTTAGAATTAGTTCATTATTATCTTTCTATTAATTCATTATCAATGAATCAGTGTAGAAGAATAAAAGCAAATGAAAAAAGCAAACACATCCACCGAGAGTTTTCGCACGTTTCTTTTTTTTTTCTTCTTTTATAATGCAAATAACGAATAAAATATAGGCGATAGTTTTTCTTAGTATTTCGTTGCAATAAAAAGAAATCAGTGTTCAATTGTCATTCCTTTGCGTTACAAACGTTCATTTTATTCATAATTACATCATGACATTGACAACAACAAGTCTTTCTCTAACTGAAGAATGTTTCAGTTTCCGCGAACAAGTTGAAGAAAAGTGCAGCAAGAAAAAAAATAATAAAAAAGGAAAACCATCCACATACAATGATTCTATATAATTTTTATTGTATCCCAACTAAATTATCCTAAGAATGATCAATAGAGTTCTGACATTTTCGATTGTCTGATAAGAAAAATAAATTTGGAATGCGAGTCGACTAGATTCTCTTTCTGTCTTTTATCTGTACGAAGTCGATAAAAAAAATGACATTGAATAAGTGCAAGTAAAACAAATCTGCAATTCTTAGTCATTCATGAATATAAATCAGTTTCCTTCTTTTTTTTTTTTTTATTTTTGTTTTATTTCTATTGATAATTAATCAATCTAAAATTTTATTAATCCAATTTCCATGTTTTTTTTTCATATTTTGAACAAAATCTTAAATGTTATAAATTTGATTAAAACTATTTCATTTGTGGAAAAGAAAATATTTACCATTATCTATTTTTGTATTACATGAAACAATCTCGGAATTAATCAAGAATATGAAAAAAGAAAAAAAAAAGAGTATTTTTCTATAAGAAAGCATATGTGCTTGACTAGCTAATGCTTAATGAAAAAGAGAAAGTTAGCATGCTTGAAATATCTTATATGACATCATACTTACTAGAAAAGTGACATTTTCCTACCGGAATGACTATATTAAAGGTAATGCATGCAATCAATAAATGAAAGAATGCAATATGCGAAAAAAAATGATTAATGGTTTCGTATTTGCATTGATTAATTCAAAGGATGAAACTCTTTAATTTTATAACTAAACTAAATATTAGAGCAATCCTCTAATATGATTAAAACACTATAGAATATGTCATTGAGAAGTGACAAAAAGTGAAACTTTTACAACATTGTTGATGATGACACATAATTTTTCATTTTATGACGTGTTAAAATAATTGATAAATTTTGTTTAAATCGAAACAAGTAACGTGTCAACATTCATTTTTTCAAATTGTAATTTAGCTACGATAAAATCAAGAAAAATACTATAAAATATTGAATTCTATAAGAAGAAAGTGATTTTTTTTCGTTTTATATTGATATAAATTTCTTTTTAGATATTTTCATTCAAAATTCTATACATTACATAAACATAAGAAGCTCTTTTATTCAAGGCAAAACTAGTAACAAAAAGAGAAATCATTAATTTCTTTTACATTATACAAAGACATGTTGAAAGAAATTCGATTTATTGACTTAATAGAATTATCATTCGCCTTTAGTAATAAAGAGTCTGTTTGGTCGATCAAATGAAATCATGACAAAGATAAGTATAGTCTCTGAATATTCATTCTTCAAAAATTGATATTTAATACAATTAGCAAATAGAAACAAAAGTAAATTTTGGATTACATTCGTAGATGTTGATTATTGAAACAGCGGTCGATTTTAAATCAAGAGATGTTGAGAACAATCGGGTATTCCTATAGCAGATGTTCCACCGTAAATGTATGGTAACATTATAGCTAGTGTTACCTACTATGAAAAAATGTTCCACCTTCTTATATGATAATATAAGAAGGTGGAACATTTTTTCATAGTGGGGAACACTAGCTCTAATGTTACCATACATTTACGGTGGAACACCTGCTATAGGAATACCGAACGATCGTCTTTGCTTTCCAAGAACACTTTTTCTTTTTCAATATTTCTCATCAGAAAAATTCTCAAAAAGAAGCTAATACAATCTCTAATAAACTTCAACCACGTGTCCTGATCACGTGATCGCCCTCATTATCATAATCCTAGATCCATCTATTATGGCACTTACTACTAGAGACGTGTCATAAGAGAAAATTGTTGTAGGTATTACATATATGATGTTAACTATATTTATCTCTTTCATTTCTCTTTATTCTGTCGAAGTATTTTTCTCAGTGTTTTCTCGTCGATTCTTTGGTTACTGTTTTCTTTGTTTCTTTCTTCAACTAGTTCATTGATCATATATTTTTCCAGTTATATCATGTTGCCTGTTGGTGTATTCAACCCTTTGACTAACATCTGCTAAAAATTCCCGCTGTTTTATATGAAGAGAGCCCATTTAATTTCACAAATAAACTTCTTATATACAACAACGTGTATTAAAAATCTAGCATCATCATAGTGTTGGAATGTCATTTGTTAGATATGTCGCTCATAAATTTTATATTTCTTTTTTATGTGAATTGAATATGAGCTTTAGCATTGTTGAGTTTAGTGACGTGACATGATAACCAATGAGGATAAAACACATGCAAATCAAATTGAGCATGTTTTTTCTTGTATTGA